TGATTTTTGACAATTGGAAATTGAAGCAAATAAACATTATCCTGACAAAACTTACTTAATAATTTACTTAAGTTGGTGTTGGTTGCGGATGAGGTGTACGAGGAGCTGTTGCGTTCGCAAGTGGCCTATGAAATCGTTCGAATAACTGATCTAAAGTTAATACAACCCCGAATCCGATTCCCGGATCCATATTAATAAAGGAATCCAAGTTGTCCTTGCATGCTGAAATATTTGAAAAAATATAAAGAAATATATAAATTGAAAAAAAAAAAGTCTCGGTTTAAGTAATCTACATATTTTATAAATCCATTTAATAAACATACTTGATGTTGAAATTGGCGGATAATCCGGTGGTGTCTTGATCCACGTTCCATCCTCACGTTTCATATGATGCCGATCCGAAGCAAATTCTCGCAAGTACACATTAGCTGGGATTACTCTGAATCTTCTATGATGCTCTGGTTGCAGCACTTCATCTGATCTGAATGTTTCCATCGCGTATTTCCAAAAATGCGTTGGAAATGGCAATGCACTATCTAAATCATATACGACCGCTCTTTCATCGGGTGCATAGATAAGAATTACATGGAAGTCCTATAAGTACAAATATACAATTTTTTTTTTAGAATCATTATGATTTAAAAAATGATAAATAATGATTTTCTCGATATTAATCGTTTTTTTCCAACTGACCCAAACTACAAGCTTATCCTCGTCCTTTCCTGCTCGTTGTCGCCAAAGCGGTACGCTACGCCAAGAATTGCTCACGAAAACAACGTAACAATGTTGTAATTCTGATCCATGTCTAGTCGCTACATCCTGACAGAGCTTCCATACATTTTCTTCGCTAAAATGATACAACTTGTTTTTGCAGATGCATATATTTGAGAAATTAGATATACAAATAAAACATATACAAATATGATGCAACACAATGTAACAGAATGAATAAAAAAAACACAATGCATAAAAAAAAGAAGATAATTGGAATTATCACTTTCAATCATAATGAATAAAAAAAAAAACTCTGCAAAAAAATAAAAAATTGTACAAAACTTTAAATAAAAATTGCAAAACATAAAATGCAGATAAACAAAAATATAAATAATATATAAAAATATTTTTAAATGCAGATGGTAAATTGAACTGAAATCTTAAGATTATATTCAAAAATTTTATTAACAAAAATGAGATTGTTAAATATGTAAAAGATTATTGATAAGAATGATGAAATATGTATTTGTTATGAAATAAATGTTGTAAATTCATGCAAATCAAAATACGAAAAATAGATATCATTGTCAATAGAATTTTATAAACTATCTAATATATATGCATTATTAATCAGAAAAATGTATTAGATTAATATAGATAAGTTTTAATTAAAAATATAAAGAGAAATTTATCTAATCTATCAACAGAACATGGAAATGCGCGGGTCTTTTCAAAACGAAATAAATGGTATACTATGATTCGTGGATATTTTATACATATCAAAGATGGCGGCAGCACATTGCACTGCTGTCTGTACTACTGCAATGTATCGATCCATCGTGGGATATACCGCAATATGACACGTTTATTTGTTTAAATCAATATTTTTATAGAAAAATCTAGAAAACCTCACTGAAACTCTTACCAATAACAACTTGTATAAATGCATTCTGATGCTTTCGGAAAAAGCTGTATCAACGGCTTCATATGCCCAGTTTCACGAGTCTCCCCGGCCATTCTTTGTTTACAAACTCGATCAAATTACACAATTTATAATAACAAACTAATTTAACACTGATTTAAATCGTTAAAATATGTATGATTCTTGAATTAAACTATACGCGAACATCATATTAATTGATTGAAATCAATCTGATCAATTTATGAAAATTCGAAAAACGATCTGACACATCCGACCACACGGAACGACATTGTTTGACTACTGCTGTTGCTCTATGATTTTCCTATAGTCGACTCGTACTTGAGTCTGTAGTAGTCGCGCATGCGCCGAATCAACCAATTTAAATCAGCAATTTTAACTTTACATTTCACAATATTTATTAAAATAATGTTTTATAAATTGATATATATATTTGTTTTACACATGAAATAATATTTTTAAATAGTTTGATAATTAATGCTTGTCCCTAAAATATCAATCTTGACGATTTATATTAGAATGGATAATAGAAGTTTTCAGTAATTTCTGTTTTACGTAATTTTCATATATTGTTAACAATAAATATTTATTCATAATTTAATTACGCATAATTTATTTAAGAAATTTGATTTTATATATGTATGTTAATACTATTTCATGTATAATACTTTCATATATATTTACATTTATATTTAATCATTAAATTATGACAACAAATTTTTATTTTAACAATTGTATAACTTTTGGCATGTACAAATATGGCTGATTAATCATTTATATTTTTACATATACAGTATTTACTTATATATATAACATATTTATAATAATATTTATATTGTATTTAAAATATAATCAAGTAATTTTTAAATTTGAAAATATTGCATGATAATTACTGATGATATCTTTATATACTTTATTATGTTGTTCGCACATCAAGAGGGTTCGTTGGAAATCGATTAAATGCAATATATCTAAAGTTAGTAAAGCTAAGACTGACCATGAACTTTGAATAATACAGAATAATATCACGTGCGTAGAAATTCATCGACATTGCATCATTAACCTCACTAACTAGTTCACTTTGTGACGACTATAAAATAGTTTTATTTTCTCTTCTTACACAATTTTTATTCGAAAATGGCAGTGAATGCCGCAAAAGCTGTTCTAAAACAAGGAAAAACTGTTTTGCTAATATGCGATGTTCAAGAGAAATTCGCTAAAGCTATGTACGAATTTGGGAAAATCACTCAGAACTCAGTGAAACTGGTAATTATTAATAAACAATGCATATTGCATACGATTTAATGATAATTTAATGATAATCTAGATTTTTATTACTGTATTTGCAAAAATTATATAGGAAAAACATAAATTATATTACATAAATTATATATTATCCACAGATAAATGCATTGAAACTTTTAAATGTTCCCATAATTGTTTCTGAACAAAATCCAAAAGCTTTGGGCAAAACTATTCCTGAATTTGATATTTCTGATGCTAAAGGACCATTTGAAAAGACTCAATTTAGCATGTGTATTCCTGAAGTATGATCATATAATCGTTTTTTATAAAAAAAAAATATGTTATGTTATTTTCATGTTAAAAATAATTTTTAGATAAACAAAGAACTTTCTACAATTTGTTCTGGTCAAAAACCAGATTCAATTATTCTCATTGGAATTGAGACTCATGTGTGCATAGAAAATACAGCAATCGACTTAAGACAAAATGGATATGAAGTACATACTGTTGCAGACTGCTGTACTTCTCGTACTCAAGAAGACAGATTATTAGCATTAGAGGTAAAAATTTAGTAATAAAAAATTTAGTATATAACAAAGAAAAAAGAAATTATAAAAAAACCTAGTGATTAATCTATGTAATTTTTACAGAGAATGAAAAGAATAGGATGTCATATAGCTACTTCAGAGAATGTCATTTTTAAACTGTTGGCAGATGCAAAACACAAGGAATTTAAAAATATCCAAAGTTTGGTAAAAACACCAACACAACAAACAAATTTAGTTCCAGTTTCACAATTATAAAAAACTGTGTTATATAAATCACTACAGAGATATTTTTATAATATGATAAAAAAATTATACATGAAATTACTTTTATTTAAATATTAATATTCATAGGAATATAATTATATAAAAAAATAAAAAAATATATATGAGAGTTTTTTATTATCTTATTTTAATTTTTTCCTGTAGAACCAAATCCTCCATCTCCTCTGTCTGTATTATCTAAACTATTTACTTCTTGAAGTTCAGGATATATTATTTTTTCACAAATTAATTGGGCTATACGATCTCCTGGTGAAACTTTAAAAGGTTCATTACTGTGATTAAACAGTACTACTCCTACATTTCCCCTATATAAAAAAAAAAAAGAAATAAATAAATTAAGCAATATTTTTGATGCAAATATAATATAATCACACATCCATCCATCCTATTATAAAATATATTCTATTGTAAAATACATAATTATTTTCAACATCTATAAATCCTTGCATTTCCTTATACTTGTTTATAAATTATATTATTTATAATTTAATTTATTTAAACTCACTTACCGATAATCAGCATCAATAACGCCAGCGCCTACATCAATATGATATTTCCATGCCAATCCTGAACGCGGTGCTATTCTCCCATACGTATTTTCAGGAACTTCAATTTGTAAATCAGTTTTGATAAGTTCTTTACCATTTGGAGGCACAATATATTCATAAGCACTGTTAAAAAAAGAAAATAATACATACACGTGAAACTTTGCAATTTTATCTAACCTAGATATTTCAAAAACATACCTTCTTAAATCATATCCAGCAGCATATTTCGATCCTTTTGTTGGTACAAATGCTTTTTCAGTTAATTTTGCGAATTTTAATACTATCATGATTAAATTAAGTGAATTTTTTTGATTGATTAGAACAAAACTAATAAATAACCGTTAATAGATATGTTTTTTATATCTATATGCGATATTTTACCGCGCATTTGTTAGTATAAACGATACTACGTTATTCAACTACATAACGATTTTGGATATTTTTTAAATAAATATTTTAATGTTACAGTATTTTTTATATTTTTATAATTTAAATGAAATTAATAAATATATTAAAATTTCTTTAAAAAAAGAATAATAAAGAGAAACATGTATATATATTTATATTATTATATTATAAATTTTCTTAACCTTAAAAATAGTGTCAGATGGCGTTAATGTGATATTATTTCAATAGATAGATATTCAGCTTTAAAAGAATATAATCGGCAAAATATAATCAAATGTGATTTTTTCAAATAAATTTGTTCAAATATATATCTATACTTACATAATGACATCTATCTAATAATTAATATATACGTAATATTGGATTCTCAACAATAATGCAACACATGATTATACTTTTGGTTTACAAAAAACGCAAAAAGTCTGCTTATCATGTTTTAATTTACATAACAAGGTCATTTATTCGAAGTTAATTAATATAAAATATTTCGTGGCTTTTTGGTTAACACGTTGGAAGTAGCCACGTTGGCTTGATATATATGGTTACTTATAAGATAAGAGTCTTCTTGACCAATCATCGGTCGTATGTTCGATCATCACTTATCTTCCCGCCAAACACGAGTGATCTTTTCAGTAAAACGATCATCTGTTTTGAGAGCATCAGTAATTTTCTTAAGATTTTTTTAATTCTTATATCTTAAAAATTATTATAATAATTATAATTATATTATTATAATTATAATTTAATTCTCTGTCTTCTTCGATTATTATAATTCTTCGATCAAGTGAAAAATTTTTCCAGGTATGAATTGTTAAGCATTCCGAGTAATTTATTTAATAATTTCTTTTCTCATTATAAAGAGTGTGTTAATAGATTTCAAAATGGATATTCTTTATTTCCAAATAAAGTTTTTTGAATGGAATGAAATCCATTAAATCAGTCTGTTGCTGTGCAAAAATATCATTATCTAATCTTTAAAAGCAATATGCATTTTTTAAGATGATCATATTTAAAAATCTATTAATATAATCGAATAATATTTCTAAATAGGATGTGGATGATACTTGCAAGTGGCTTTTTAGCTATTGCATTAACAAATGCGGATAATGAAGCACATAAGGCTTTCGATGCAACAAATGCGATTCCTGACGATGGAAAGATTCCAACGGCAAAAGAACTTCTTGAAATGCTTGATTCGATGAGTGGATTATCAGATGAAGAAAAATCGAGTCTTAGAGAGAATCTATTAAAAAATCTTCAAGGAGATCATGTTCCTGAGATGATGCCTGGCAATGATTTGACTATGCAAACTATGGTTCTTTTATCCTTATTGGGCATTGTTGCTCTCATTTTTGGTAAATATTTTAATCTGAGTTTTTTAAAATTAAAATTATTTTAGCAATTTAATTTTATTAATTAAGAAAGTTATGAATTTCTTTTAAAAGTCATTGATCACGATATACATTGATATTAGGATTGTATATATTATTTTATTTTTTCTGAATAATTTCAAAAGGCTGATTCAGTAAACATTTTTGTTTTCTCAACTAAATTGCATAATAAAAACGATTGTATTACATTTCTACATCATATATGAACAATTTAACGTGTTACACGTTATCTAATCGACCACTTCAATATTGCAAGTGGTCCGATGAATTTTATTTAATCAATTCAGTCTTTTTGTGCTAACGAGATTATCGATTTTACTTGTCGATTAAATTCTCGTTAAAAGAAAGTTCTGTAATTATTTCTTAGTGTTTTATGCGAGTGTTTAAAATATGGCACAAAATATTTTGGATTCGTTGCGAGATAAAGGCGTTTTGTCTTCCAGTGCGCAAAAAAAATTATTAAATTTAATACCAGACAACACTAAAGAAAAATTGTCCAATATCTTTCAGCGATATCAAGAATTAAATGATGAAGAAAAACAGCAATTTGTGCACGAAATAGTTGGAAAGTTTAAACAAGTTTTAGAAGATAAAGTGAATAATTATTCCAATTTGTATACATATTTGTTTCATTCATATTTAATTTTCATTTTTGCTGTATTATTTGTAGTTTTCATTCTTGGTATGTTATTTTTATAACATTATTTTATTATATGTTAGTTTTAACATTTAAAATGAATCATATATATCAGATTATTATTTTGGATAAGAATCATTTTCTTCTATTTTATAACTTGATACTTTATATTTTTCATTTATATTTTTATGATTATAGTTTTCTTCGTTTACAAATTGTTCAAATGCTTATCGGACAGACAAACAAAACGAGAAGAAAAGAAGAAGAATAAACAAATGAAGAAGAAAAAGTAATGTAATTGATACAAAAATAAGAATATGCAATATGTTATAAATCAATATGATATATCATGTTGTTACGCGAATAATCTTGTTATATTTTATGTGAAAAATAATTTATAATTTACAAAATACTCTATTTTGTTAAATAAAATAGTATATTTATAAATTATAAAAGTGGAGATCATTTATTGGGGGGGGAGGAACAATATATTTTGGCAAAAGGATATTTATTGTGCCGTTTTATGACATACATAATATATAACATGCAATCAAATCAACATATTCTTCTGTATGTCACGATGGACGTTGAAGTTTCTATTCTTTTAATATCATTTTATATAATATCTAAATTAAGATATACAAAGATATTTTTTCTTAACACATGTACAATCCTAACGATTGTTACACAATTCGTTCAATTGATATAAACAATATGCATTTTACGTCATATTGAGGATTGAGATGTGCTATTAGTTCAATTCACATATGTGATTAGACATAAATTATAGAAAAAGATATTAGCCAGTATTAGCGATAATATTATATCGTAAACATCGATATAATTTCAATAATTTGTATATATTTACTCATAATTCTGGAATTTATTCTTTGCAAAACCTCTATTTTATGATTTAACATTTGCTAGTAAATTATAATACTTAGTATGTTGTCCATGATTTACAATATTTAAAAAAAATTTATTTTCCTCTAGTTTGTACTGAAATAGACTTCTCTAAAATAAAATAATTATCATTACTCTTGTCAAATCCTTATTAAATAAATTTTAACACTTTGTTATGAACAAAAAAAAAAATAAGGCACTTATATTTTCTTTAAGGACGTACTTTGAAGAATAGAAACTTTAATTGATACTTTCTATTCTTTACTTTGGCAAAGTGGCGTCTTTTAGAAGTGACTTTACACTCTTTTAAGACTTAAGAAGTTATTTAATGTTGTGATAATTCGTGATAATAAAAAAATATTACATTTTATGTAAAATAAGGATTATATTCATCAGCGATATAATTCATTAACGTTCTAGTTTTGTAAACTCAAAACAAAACATTTGATTTATACCAATGAATAATTATAATAGTAATATTTGCTTATTAGATTTATAATTTTTGTGGCACAAGGATTGAGTAATTGCGGTAATCATCGTATATATTCTCTAAAATAAACAGTTTACTTAAAATCTAATAAAAAAAATTAACTGAATTCATATATTATTTTTATAGTAA